CGATTACCAGGCGCTTTTCGGAATATAAGCCCGAACCGGACCCGAGAGAACGGCGGAAATTCAGTCATTACGATAAGCAGCTCTCCCAAAATATAACAAGAATCACGGGTGCTAAATAAATTTCTTACAGTTAACCGATCCGCACGGCTAAATGGCGCAAACACACACCTGAATCACACGTAAATGATCTGCGCAATTTGCAGGATTGCAGCGCGAAACTGCTTTTATTTCTTGCTGGCTTAAGTTGTAAACCTTCTATGCTTGACCTAGAGCAAAACGATGAAGATGTTCCTATCTGGTACCATCTAGTTGTACATGCAAGTTGTGCAGACGACGATCTTCATAACGAATGCCCTCCCTTGCATACTAAAACTCGACTGACGCACTCTAAGAATATCATTTACGAAAGAAATTCACCCGGCTCAGTGTTAACATAGATGGTCATAGATGAGTGCTTATAGCTATGATTGCTTCGCTGCCCGCGCTCTTTTGCTGATCCCACGCCTAAGACCCTCAACCCTGCATAAGCCTCGGAAAGGAAATTGAGACGGTTTTTTTTAATTTAATAACTTCTTACCTGCTGCTAGCCGTGGAATAAAACCAATGAAGATAAAGAATTGCAAATGCATGGCCTCTTTTCTTCTGAAGGATTGATGCTTTCTGACTTCGTACGTGGCGTTAATAAAATTAACTGACCTTTGTTGCGCGTTATAATGGACGGACCATTAAAATATTCTTTTGGGAGGGCGGGGGGGGGGGATTGGTGGGACATTTTCTGGGGTACGAATGTTTTGTCTCGCTTTTAGGTTATGCATGACTTTTTGGTGGGCAATAGCTTGTGCGAAAACTTTTTCAGTCAGTCACAGGACCTAGTAAGTAGACAGCACTTTCTTGATTGTTTCGCTATGGCTCCCCTTTTGTTTTAGCAGTTTTTGCTGTGCAGCAACTTTGTAGATTGCCTAATCCCCGTCCCACCCCCTCAAAAAAATAGTGGTCCACCATAAGTTTTCTCTTGTTTACTGTCAAAGTTACGAGACCGTGAACACCCTTCCCTGTTTATTGTGTTATAACCAATCACAAGTGAGATCTTCAAGCCGCAGAAACAGCGTAAAAGGGACGAGTTTCCATAGGTCACGAAACATCGGCGAGATTTTGGCTTCTTTCTTATACAGACAGAATTACCTCGCCGCTGAACATCGGCGAGATTTTGGTTCCTTTCTTATACAGACAGAATTACCTCGCCGCTGAACATCGGCGAGATTTTGGTTCCTTTATTTTACAGACAGAATTACCTCGCCGCTGAACATCGGCGAGATTTTGGTTCCTTTATTTTACAGACAGAATTACTACGCCGCTGAACATCGGCGAGATTTTGGCTTCTTTCTTGTACAGACTGAATTACCTCGCCGCTTAACATCGGCGAGATTTTGGTTCCTTTATTATACAGACAGAATTGCCTCGCCGCTGAACATGGGCGAGATTTTGGTTCCTTTATTATACAGACAGAATTACCTCGCCGCTGAACA